GTGTTCTTCTGTATGTATATATATTTAATTTATGAATCTAAAATTAAGCCCAGTGCCTTTTTTGGTGACAGTGCCTGCCAGGATGGGGTATCAGAACCTTTCCTTTGAGCAACACTGAGATGTGTCTGTTCAAATCATTTAGTTACCAACTCGATGGGCTCTTGTAGTAGCAAAACAGAATCAAAAGTCATCACCTAATCCATTCACCACTAAAAATATTCATTACACTATTCTTTTCATCCTCCACAGCACCTATAAACTCACACCTGGCGTTTTGTGAAACTTCTACATGCTGAGAATTATAGCAGGTGGAAGTGCATGTGGCCAGACATTTCATCTGCACAGTGGGCATCAGATGGATGGAAGGGGCGGGGGAGAGAGCAGGATATTTTTCAAGTTATTTTTAGTACAAACCCTGATACTTGGTATTCATCAGCTCATTGCCATCTTAACTTATACAAAATTAATACATTTTTGAAATTTGGGGGACATTCTCTTTCTCAGTAAAGGGACTAGGAGAGCAGCAATTCACAAAAATATTTGATGGCATGATTTAGTTTTATGTCAGGAAAAAAAATCTCTTGTCTTCTTTTGTTAAAATCTTTATTTCTTGTGCGGCATCTGTGGCTCAAAGGAGTAGGGCGCCAGCCCCATATGCCGGAGGTGGTAGGTTCAAAACCAGCCCTGGCCAAAAACTGAAAGAAAAAAAAAATCTTTATTTCCTTCCTGCACGTGCTGGCCCAATATAGTTAACTGTGCCGCCCAGGAGCCCCCTAAGACCGGGGGGCCACTTGTACAATTGAACAACCCCCTGTAACACTTTGCTTTCTACTCTGTTAAGATGTTAAATGGTAGACATCATCTTTCTCCACTAGATTTAGCTTTTGATTGTTGGTTATGTCTACAACTCCGGCCCCCATATTATGTAGGGTTAGGCAAGCAAGACTCAGACCAAGAGTCAAGGGTTTGACTCGGACATAAGACCAGGGGGGAATATTATGCCCAACTCCATCTTGCTGGGGGCTTTCAAGACTCCCCCTTTAAGACAGGACGCTCAGCCGAGTCTAGTAATAACTGCAAAACCCCAGCTTCCCCTTGTAAGGACTCCCCTTACCAGGTGTTGGCTCTTGTCAAATTCAGCTTGCATTAAGGATTCTCCCTCGCCTACCGAAAACCCCTTATAAAAGGTTT